TTAAGTTTTCTGCACAGAGTATCCTGTTCTCTCCAGATCTTGGCAGTTTAACTTCTTATCAATTTGAATGCCTTTTCTTTTTCTTATCTGATTGCAATTGCTAGGACATTGAATAAAAGTGGCAAAGTGGACATCCTTGTCTTGTTCCTGATCTTAGAGGAAAATCTCTGTTTTTCAATATTGAGTATGATGTTAGCTGTGGGTTGTCATATATGGCCCTTGTTATGTTCTCTCCATACCCACTCTGTTGAGTTTTTATCATGAATTTACGTTGAATTTTGTCAAATACTTTTTCTGCATCTATTGAGATGATCATATGATTTTGATCCTTCCATTTATATGTGTGGTATACCACATTGATTGGTATATATTGAGCCATCCTTGCATCCTTGGAATAAATCCCACTTGATGGTAGTGTTGTATGGTCTTTTTAATGTATTTTGGAATTTAGCTTGCTATTACTTTGTTGACGATTTTTGCAACTATGTCTATAAAGGATACTGGCCTGCAATTTTGTTTTTTGGTAATATCTTTGGTTTTGGTATCAGAGTAATGCTGGCCATTTGAATGAACTTGAAAGCATCCCTACCTCTTCCATTTTGGGGAATAGTTTGAGAATAGGTGTTAATGCTTCTTTAAATATTTGGTAGAATTCACCTGTAAAGCCACCTGGTCTTAGACTTGGGAATTTTTTGCCATTCAACTTTCTTCCTAGTAATTGGTCTATTCAGATTTACCATTTCTTTCTGATACAGTCTTGGAAGATTATATGTTTCTAGGAATTTCTTTTAGTTTGCCCAATTTGTTGGCATATAATTTTCTGTAGTAATTTTTTTTTGTATTTCTGAGGTATCCATTGTAACTTTCATTTCCAATTTTCAGTTTTTTTTATTGATTAGTTGACTAATGGTTTGTCAATTTTGTTTCTTTTCAGAGAACAAGTTCCTTAGTCTCATTGATCTTATTGTTTAAGGACTTATTTCATTTCTTTCCATTCTGATCTTTATTATTTCCTTCTTTCTACTAACTTTGCGCTTTATTCTTCTTATTCTAGTTCCTTTAAGCATAAGGTTAAATTATTGACTTGAAAGTTTTTCTCGTTTCTTGAGGTAGGCCTGCATTGCTGTGAACTTCCCTCTTAGAACTGCTTTAAGCTGCATCCTAAAGATTTTGAACTGTAGGCTCTCCATTTTCATTTGTGTCCAGCTATTTTTCTGATATCCTTTTTTGATTTCTTCATTGACTTACTGGTTGTTTAATAACATCTTAGCTTACATATGTTTGTGTTTCTTCCAGTTTTTTTCTTCTAATTTCTAGTTTTATACTGTCCTGATCAGAAAAGATATTTGATATAGGTTTTCTTAAATTTATTGAGACTTGTTTTATGGCCTACATACCTTGAAGGATGCTCCACATGCCCTTGAATATTCTGCTCTTTTGGGGTGGAATGTTCTAATATCTGTTAGGTCCCTCTGATCTAAAGCTTTATTCAAAGGCATTGTTTCCTTATTCATTTTTCCATCTGGATGACCTATCCATTGATCTGTGTTAACATTCCCTACTATTATTATATTACTGTCAGTTTTTCCCTTTATGTCTGTTAATACTTGTTTTATATAGTTAGGTGTTCCTAAGTTGGGTGCATAAATATTTACAATTGTTATATTTCTTCGATTGATCCCTTTAACAATATGTAATCACTTTTTTTTTTCCTCCTGTGATAGTCCTTGTTTTAAAGTCCATTTTATCTGAGTCTTAATATCCCAGTTGTGGGGTTTGTTGTGTTGGTGGGGGAGGGGGGGTTGGCTTCCATTTACATGAAATAATTTTTTTCTGTATCTTCATTTTATTATTTTTTTAAGGATTTTATTTATTTATATGAGAGACACAGAGGGAGAGAGGCAGAGACATAGGCAGAGGAAGGAGCAGGCTTAATGCAGGGAGCCCGATGTGGGACTCGATCCTAGGACCACGGGATCATGCCCAGAGCCAAAGGCAGACGCTCAACCGCTGAGCCACCCAGGCATCCCTGTATCTTCATTTTAGTCTGTATATGTCCTTAGGTCTAAAGTGAGTCTTTTATAGGCAGCATATAGATGAGTCTTTGGGTCTTGTTCTTTTTATCCATTCTGTGTCTTCTGATTGGAGCATCTAGTCCACCTCTGCCTGTATTTCTACCTCTCTCTCCACTCTGTGTCTTTCATGAATAAAATCTTTTAAAAAATAATAAAAGTAATTACTGATGGGGGAGACTGGATGGTTAAGCATCTGCCTTCAGCTCAGGTCATGATCCCAGGGTCCTCTGATAGAGCACTACATCAGGCTCCCTGCTCGGTGGGGATCCTGCTTCTCCCTCTCCTTCTGCCTGTTGTCCCCACTGCTTGTACTCTCTCTCTTCCTCTGTCAAATGGATGGATAAATTTTTTTTAAAAGACATTTCAACAAAATAATTTTAAAAATAATGTAATTAATGCTATGTACTGTCATTTTAACTTGTTTTTTCTGTTCCTTTCTCTCTTTGTGGTTTGATGGCTTTCTTTAGTGTTATGCTTAGATTCCTATTACAGGGGTTTATTTACCATTGAGTTCATAGATAACAGCAGTCTACATTGAGTTGATGGTCACTTTTCAAATACATTCTAAAAGCATGACATTTTTACTCCTTCCACATTTTATGTATACGTTGTCTTATTCTGTATCTTTTTATTTTGTGTATCTCTTGACTAATTTTTGCATATATAATTAATTTTACTACTTTGTGTTTTAATCTCACTAGCTTTGTGATTGATCTACTACTTTTACTATATGTTTACTTTTACCAGCAAAAGTTTTTCCCTTTGTAATTTTCTGCTAGTTATGGCCTTTTCTTTCCATTTATAGAATTCCCTTTGACATTTCTTCTAAGGCCAAATACGGTGTTCTTGGTTGTAGATTTTATCTTTTAGGCACCTTAGTTGTATCATGCCACTTGCTCTGGACTGTAAAGTTTCTACTGAAAAATCAGATGATAGCCCTATGGGGGTCTCCCTTGTAAGTAACTGTTTGCTTGCCATTTTAATTAACAGTATTGGTGTGGATATCCTTGGGTTCATCTTGTTTGGGGCTGTGTTTCCTGGAGTTTCTGTGTCCTTCCCCAGCTTAGGAAAGTTTCCAGATGTTATTCTGCCCCCTTCTCTCTCTTCTCCTTCTGGGACCTCTATAATGTGAACATTATGGTGATGATGTTGCAGAGGTCTCTTAACCCGTCATTATTCTTTTTGCTCTTCAGCTTGGTTGCTTCCTGTTATCCTGTCTTCTAGATCCCTGATCCATTTTTCTGCATCCTCTAATCTGTTCATTCTACTAGTGTATTGTTCCTATCAGCTATTGTATCCTCATCTCTGGTTTTTATTTTTTCTCTGTTGAAGTATTGAGTTCATCCATTCTTTTAAATCCATTATTTTTATGACCCTTACTTTGAACTCTATCAGGCATATGGCTTATCTCTATTTTGTTTAGCTCTTTTTCTCTGATTTTTGTCATCTTTCATTTGGGACATCTCCTGTGTCATTTTGTCTATGTATTAAGTAGGTCAGCTATGTTTCCTGATCTTGAAAGTAGTGGCTTTCTGTAGAAGGGACCCTGTTGTAAACTATCCCTAGTCACTAGAACCAAGCACTTCAGGGGTGCTCCCTGTGTGGGCTACATGTGCACTCCTGTGTGGCTAGGGTTTGTTCCCTGTGCTGCTGGCTTAGAGGCCTAACTGCAGCCACCATGGGCTCACTGGTAGGCAGGGTTGGCACTCAGCCCAGCTATCTACATAGTAATGAGCCACTGTGACGATGGCATGGGTGCTGGTAGGGAGAGTTTGCATCCCTCCCTTGCCCCCTGCCCAGGGAAGGTCCACAGAGGAATGACATAATGGTGCATGTAGTGCTAGCAAGGCAGAGGAAGAATGCTAGAACTGAACTCCTGAAAGCCTCTGGCTGTCTAGGCTGGGGAAAGTGAAGAAAAATGGTTCCTTCCAGCACTTTCATTTCTAAAGAAAACTGCAGCTCCCTACCCCACTGGCACATATCCTGAAATTAGTAAGATCTCCATATAGCCTGGTACTTTTCAAACTATGTCTTTCAAGCTTGGGTTGTTATTTAGCTTTTTGGTTTTTTAAGGGTGGAGACTCAGTTTCTTACAGCCCTCCAGCTCTCCTGAAGTTAAGCTTTGTTGATTCTGAGAGCCAGATGTGTGGATACTCCCCTTCCCAGTGCCGGTCCTGAGGGCTGGGGATATACTCAGTGTGGGCTCTGATCTCCTTGCTCCTCTGTGCTTATGATGTCCCTCCTGTTTGTGGATAGTTGTGCTGGGATTTGGTTCCATGTCACATTTCTGCTCCTACCCTTTGCAATGTAGCCTTCTCTCTGCTATGAGCTGTGGAAGATCTGTTAGTCTTCAGGTCATCTTCAGAATTAGTTGCATAGATGATGATGTTGCCTTTGTGGGATGAGGCAAACTTGGGATCTTCCTATTTGGCCATCTTCCTCTGAGCTCTGGAAACTGTCTTGAATTCCCTGTGCACGCCTGTGTTCCACTTGGGTCTGGAACCACTTGTGTTTTTACACCTACTAGTGTGTTTCCACTTTTGTTACAACATAGACCCACCATCTAATTTGATATGCAGTTCGATTTCTCAGCAACTCACGTTTTTCAGAGGAATACTGACATCTACTACTGGTATTCAGACTCGGTGGAGTTTATGCTAAGTGGCAGAAGCAACTGCAATTGCTTTTCTTCTTTCTCCCAAATATTGGGGGTGGAGGAGAAAGGGCACTCAGAGGCTGGTTCGTATTTTTTAAAAGTTCCACAAGTGATTTTGGTATAAGAATATTAAAGTCTTTGATAGATTTGTTTTTTATCCTATTGTTTTTAGACTAAATCAGAAGTAGAAGAATTGCTTTTCTTTTAAACATCTTTAATGAATAAACCAATTTTTAATTTAGATATTAGCATTGTGATTTTTCTCATAGGTATCATCTTTAAGAAATGAAAAGCGAGGCTCATCATATCTCATCTCTGCCCCAGAAGGTGGTTCCGTGGAATTTGCCGACCAGCATTCTCAGGGCACAGGAGCATATTACATGGAAACGTACTTAAAGAAGAAGCGTGTATACTGAGCTAAGTTCTCTCCATATAATCTCGTAAGGTTTTTTGCAGTATCTCTGCTGTTCATCGCTGCCTTAACTACATTCAGATTAGCCATATCCTTTCAATACGGGTTTCTAATTTCCCAGAAGGAACTGTATTGTGCAGCAAGCAGAATTGCCAAATAAAAACTAAGTAGCAATAAGACAATTGAGGACATTTTCCATTAGAATTAGATGCATCTTAATTGGTATTAACTTATAGCCATTGGAGAAATTCACAATGTTCCAATATTCCTTATTTAGGACTGGGAATAATTTTGACACCATATATAAAAGTATGAAGCAATAACTGGGAAACAGTCTTGTTTCCTGAGCCTTAGAAGAATGAGTTTCTTTTATGCCAATGTGCATTTCAATCTACTTTTCCTAGAACAAAAGAGTGCAACTACAAAATGCAGTGGTGGTAAAGATGTTCTACATGCAAACTAAATAATTACCCCCAAATCAGCCCTGCAATATAAAACCCAGAGTGATGTCCAAGTTCTACACAACTACAGATGCTTTACTTTTAATGTTATCTACCATTTATACTTTTTGTGAAAAACAAGCTATTTTTTTTTTTAAAGTAGCTTTAGTGAATAATTTCAGGGGTTGGAAGACTACACCCTGAGGTTAAGTTCAGTTCACCTGTTTTTATATTGTCTGCAAGCTAAGAATGATGTTTACATTTTTAAATGAAGTAGAACATATTTGAATTAAGTACTATGAAATTTAAATTTCAGTGTCCATATATAAAATTTTATTGGAACACAAATATGCTCATTCATTTACATACTGTATGTGGTTCCAGGTGTGCTGTAGTGGCCGTGCTGAGTAGCTGTAACAGAGACCATCTGGTCTGCAAAGCCTAAAATATTTACTCCCTGGCCCTTGATGGGGGAACGTGTGCTGACCCTGCTCTAAGAGCACTAATTCCCTAATCTTTTAACTTCTGCAACAGGCTAGTGGGTGGCAAGTGATGTCGGTTTCTGAGTCTGATTTTATGGCATAAACTAGTGATAAACAAGGCCTGTTTTGATCCTTGAATGTCCTATTTCCACCATACAGTCAGTCTATACTGCTCTTTCTGAAGGAACATTATGGAAGTAAGAGTGTAACAACTCGGAGCTAGTAAGTTATACCTCACTTTCTGCTTTGTCTCTTAGTCTTGTGTAGTGTTAGGCTGAAAAATTATCTCCGCTGTTTAACTCCATTTGGCAAGAACTGCATTCATTGCATATTACTTTTGACATCACCATTTCCTGAAGACTTTGGTATTAAACACATGAGCAATCCTTTGCCATCTAGAAATTTTCAAGTTTATTCCTCATTACGAATCTCAATGATCCTAGTGTTTTTGAAATCAGATAATTAAATCTAATTCAGGAAACTTATTTTTGACTATGATCTAAAGCAATTGGCCTATTTCATATGTTATTAACTTCTAAAGTGACAAAGTTAACTTCTAAGGACTAGCATCAGTTATGACTCAGCAGATGAATAATGGTTTCTCCATGTTCTGCACTTCTCCTTTCCATTTCCTATTGCATTGAACATCTTCAATGCTTAGTCACACCTTTCTGATAATATAAACAGAAGATGGTGAGTTTTAAATCAGAGCTGAAAAATGAAACAGGTTGAAAAAAACCAAGATATTTTGGACTATAACACATGTGGACCTGCGCCCATTATCATTGGACAGAATAGATAAGTACAAATCAAATGGCGTTTGTAATAAGGACTATTACCAAACTCCCCCTGCAAAGTCTATACTGTTATTTTTCTATGTAAACAAATTGTTTGAATGTTTTGAAAATGAAATCTTAATATTAAAAGGCATATGCATGTGAAGTCTCTAGTATATTTATTTGTATAAAGAGTAAACAAAGTGCATATAGAGTAGCCACAGGTTTGACACAGACAGACACCTTGGTGATGTAGGGTTATTGAATAAATTTAAATGGCAAGTTTATTGTTGCCATTGCATCAATCCAGAACTCTTTTTCAGGCTCAAAAGGTGAAAAGTAATGATATCAAACAAATGCTAGACAGCATTAACAGAAAGTTTTTTCAGACTCTTGGTCATAAAGTTCTTATGGTTCACATTGAATCAGAGAGTAGACATTTTTGATTACCCAGCTACCTCCAAGCAAACTGAACACTGTCTAATAGAACACTGACTGGTTGCATACAGCATCCAAAACCAATGCTGGAACAAGTGGTAGAGTTATAAAAGGATATACATGAACATTTCTTAAAAGCACGTATGATAGTATCTGAGATCTTTATATTGTTTAGGAAAGCACTGGCACAGGCTTGGTTCTCAAGAATTAACATGCAGCAAAGTATCTATTCCACAGCTTTCCCCCTGGATCTGCCCAGTTTTCTCAAAAATCCATAGTACTGGTCATCCACGGGGACAGGAGCAAAGCCACTGAAGAAATAACTCAAAGTTTAAATCCTACTGGTGACAGGAATACACTCATCTTTGTATAGAAACAATAGTCTACTAACTAGTATCTAATATTTCAAGAATGCTTGGTTTATCACTGTATAGATATTGAAATTTGAGGGTATGCTGGAGTATTGGCTAAGTCCATCAATCTTTATCTGCCAAGAAAGCATTTCAGATCTACTGGCAGCTGGGAACAAGTGCTTCTGGCTGCTCTTTGTGTTTTCTGGTGCTCAATTGTGATGGGAAGCTAGCCAAACAAAATGGTGGTATATGTTCTTTCCAAAAGGAGGAGTGCTTAAGTGCCTTCTATTGTTTTGGTTGTCCTTGTTTGTTATTGGTGCCAAATTTAAAGAGGAAAATACTTACGCATAATAAGCACCACAGTGTGCCTTACATACCCAAATACAAATTTTTTTGCATTAAAAATTCTTTTAAATGGCTTGGGTATTGGTTGGGGAAGGAGGACTTGGTACACAGGAGTTTGAATGTTATTCATGCTTATTTTAAAAGTGCTTCAAATCCTTCAATAAGGTTCTGAAAAGTTGTCCGATTAGATGGCTGGAATTCCCAGCATTTTCTCATAAGTTGATAAACCTGTAAGGGGGAAAAATCGAGTTAAACACTTTTTGGGAAATGTAAAAGACTTTCCTTATTATTCAAAATATTATTTACAAATGATAGGTGTCACATTTCCTATCATTAGTTTCAGATATAGTTTTCAGTAATTCATCAGTTGCATGATGCTCATCACATTTCCTATATCTTGAGAAGCTCACGACTTAACCTTCCAAAAAGTCCAGGTCATTACATCTCCATGTAGACTCTTAAGTACATCTCAAATAGTCTAGAAAACTAAAGATTTAGTCATAAATGCTACTGACTAAAATGCAATTACAGCTGACTTTTGAACGACGTGGATTTGAACTGTGCAGGGTCCAGTTATACATTGTTTTTTCAATAAATACAATACAGTGCTATAAATGTATTTGCTCTTACCATTTTTTTCTCTTGTAATCAGTAAGCCTCCTGGTCAACAGCAGACTTAAGTTTGGGTAATCAAAAGTTACATTCAGATTTTCAAATGTGTAGGAGGTCAGTGCCCCTACTCTCGTGTGGGGTAAGGGTCAACTCTATATGTACTTGTCACAATCAGGCTCCACCAAAATATGTTCCTTTAGGGTGCTCACACTGAGGTCAGCCCACTTCTGGATGGAATCCTTACTTTAAACATAACTTATGGCTGTCATTTGCCCCAAAAGATGATTTTTCATCAGATCAAAGAGGTTTGATCTGAAATTCAACTTCAGAAAATTACTTCTTCCCCCTTTACCCCTACCCCCGAACACTTGCTGGATAACTCAAGCCTTAACACCACCACACAAATTGAGTTTATTACTGTAAAATGACCCACAAATACCTCTTCTGGACAGTGAGGTGGACAAGGCAAACGTTTTCCTTCTTTTAATGTATTCACAAGTCTTGTTACTGTCATCTGGCCATGAGTTGGGCCTATCATTTTCAGAAACAACTATGTGAAATAAAACCAAACAAAATATTTTAGCACACATTTAGATCAACATTAGATGAAGGTAAAATTTCTAGAATTAAATGGAAATTAAATGAAAGTCCAAAATCTTGATTAGCTCTCAATGATTAGTCTGTAATCTGTCAGACTCCACTAACTATCCCTTTCCCTGGCTGAACAGCCTGTCCCAGTGAAAATGATCTCATTTATGAATACCTGAGCCTCAACAAGGCCCTCCCCATTGGCTCCCTCATTCTCACAGGAAACTGACCCTGGACTCTTCACACAGGTAAGATCCTTGAAAGCCAGCCATCATTTTCTAGAACTTGGGCTCTTTATAAAATGAGGACTTGAGAGAGCCACAAATAAGTGTCAAGTGACACTTTCCATTGTAACACACTAACTGGATGCCATTTAAGAACAAAACTTGCACATTTCCACTGGGTGCTAGGTTCATATAAAGGGACAAGGAAGACTTACCGCCATGGGGCTGGAATCTGAGTCACAGTAAGTAAGCAACTCATGCAGGGTCACTCCAAACGACCAGACATCAGAGGCGATATAAAATTTACATTGAATTAAACATTCAGGAGCATACCTGAAAGAAAGCAGACCATGAAATCTCTTCATTTCCTGGGAAGGATATTCGAACAAACATTACAGATTAAGTCCAAAAAAATTACTTCTTTGGCTTTTCTTAGTATTTAATACATTAATCACAGCTATCCTGAAGCACACATCTGATGTGTAAAACAATGCCATCTCAGGCTCTCTGTAGCATGTATTTGCTTTAAAATATTAGACAGTTTGTGCTCTTCATTGCACAGGGCAGGTACTGTCCATGTAGAGGAGGCATGGAATGACAGGCCCCAGGTGTTCTTTGCAAGTTCAAAATTAGTCACTAGCAGTGACCTCCCCATGCAGGTTTCTTCCAAGGTCAACTGTTTCAGTGGATGACAGCCACTGCCCACGCCAGAAATGGAGGCATCCCCATATCCAGTTTCCTAATTATTTAAACCTTCTCACTTCTCTTAAGCCCCACTGTCACTGTCCTAGTTCACATCCTCACTAGCTCTGGCTGAATCAGATTCCCTTGGCTCCAATCTTGTTCCCCCTCCATCCACAGGGATCGTTTTAAAACAAAAGCTGCCATTTGTCAAGCCTCCAGTGGTATATCCCAAAGCCTGTGGTGGAGTGCTGCCTCCATAACTCGGCTTCCAGGGCTCTGCGTTAGCCAGTCCTTGAGACCTCCTGCCTCATGATCCAGCCACAGCTGACTCACGTCCTGGGATATTCACTGTTCTCATCTCATTTTTTTACCATCCTTACAAACCCCCATGGATCTTTTTTTTTTTTTAAGATTTTTATTTTATTTATTCATGGTAGACATAGAGAGAGGCAGAGACACAGGCAGAGGGATAAGCAGGCTCCATGCTGGGAGCCCGACGCGGGACTCGATCCCGGAACTCCAGGATTGCGCCCTGGGCCAAAGGCAGGCGCTAAACCGATGAGCCACCCAGGGATCCCCCCATGGATCTTTAAAGTCATAACAGGACTTCCAGAAAACCAAGCTTATATGCAGCTACCATCATGAAATTGGCTGCCCAATCCATTACATTCTAAACTCGGTCTGCTTGTTCACCACATATCTCTAAGTACCTGGCATAAAGTAGGGCCCTGATACATATTTATGAGTGAGGGAAGGCTTAGGCTCCATGAGTGGGAGAGATCTAGGTTTGGGTCTATGCGGGACACACCTTGGAGGTGCTGGTTTGTTCTATCGGCGTGGCACAACAGAGGTTTAACCAGCTTCTCCCTTGGTGCTCCAGGCTGAGAGGGCTCACAATCAGGATGTGGCCTTCCAAACCAGACACTCCAATGATCCGTGGGCAGATAGCTGAGTCCCCCCCTGCACTGTGGTCCACTCTCCTGTCGGGGATCTCCCTGAATCATCTGTCTGCGCCTACCTTCCTCACCTCGTTCCTACCCCTTCCTCCCACCTGCCCTCTAAGCCTCCTGTGCATGGATGTGATCCCTGCAACTGCTAATGGTTTTATGGACTGTGTCAGATGAATGCCCTCTCCTGGGAAGCTGGAAATGCTGAGCCACCAGGTGGTTAGCATCCTTCACTCCTTGGAAGATGGTGTCATATGAGCCTCCGGCATTTCTATGTGGATTGGTTTCAGTGAAACAACCTAAAAGGTGTTTCTTGAAGGCAAGGATCAATCAATTCCAAATGTTCTAAGTTGTTTCTAACCTTGACTTGGGCAGGAGGAATAAAAGACATTAACATTAGATTCAGTTACCAAAACACAGGGCTGTCCCGATCATCCTTGACTGTGTAGTACTCCTTGTCAGTTTCAATTGCTTTGGTCAAACCAAAGTCTCCAATTTTCACTTGGTGTTCACTCTCAACAAGGACATTCCTTGCTGCTAAGTCCCGGTGAACATATTGCCGAGAACCTAAATAGTCCATCCCCTGAGAAGAGAGAAGTAAAGGTAGAGTGTGTTTCCTAAAGGTTGTTTCCGGTTCTGTTTTGTATCCGTTACTGCTTCACAAAAAACCACAAATGTCATTTCGTTTACCTAGCACTCATTTTTTTTTGTTGTTGTTTTTAATGCAAGAATAATAAGGCCAACCCAATTCAAAGAAATATACATTAAATCAGCCATGTTAACAGATCAGTTTTCTTAGTACTGGCTGATTTTCATCCAAATCATATAGAGCAAAATGAACCCAGGTACAATTACTGTAAAGCTTTCCTCTTGCAGTCTAATCACAACCCAATTTTAGGACAGAGTGCCTGATTTTTTCATCTTTAACATTTTTTTTTTTTTTACCTTACAAATCTGAACGGCATATTTTAACTG